ATACGACAAACAAGTTGTTTGATTTATTTTTTTATATAATTTCTTATGTGATCTAAATTTTTTTTTCTTTTTTGCATGATAAATTATATTAAAACTGTCATTCTTTTCATCCGAGCACTTTCGGCTATACATTTAGCCATTTTCAAGGTTGAAATATATTAACTGTTATCAAGAAATAGTTTGTTGTATGTATGTATTTATATAATGTTTTCGTTTTCAAAACACGGTCAAGATATTGTGTCTATGTTTGTAGTTGATATTATTAAGTGTTGGTTTTTTGTTTTTATTAATAAGTTTTCCATTATTTTTAGCTCATTTTTGCATGTAGATGATGCAATTATATTTGTGCTGTCAACAAATAAGTTACGAATAGGGTCCGGTAGGTCTCCATGAATATTTAAATGAGACCTAATTGAGCTATGGTCAGAAAGGTGTAGTGTGAGTCTTCGTGTCAAACATGTTGTAGAATGGCTATAAGTATATTGTTAAAAAAAGTTTTAAAACATTATTTCCGCTCCTAAATAAGGTGAGATTAATATTGGGTGCCAGATGTTTTATGTAGGGCCTTCTGACAGCGTGATGTTTTCGGTTTTTCTGATTATATATATATATATATATATATATATATATATATATATATATATATATATAAGTTTAATATTGACGTATGTAGATGTTTAACTTAACAGAGCTTATTCAGCTGGACGTCAAAATTTAAATTTAAAACTTGGCTGTCTTTAGCTAAGTTTTAAAATTGTCTTTATTGTTTGTTGTAACTCTTCCGCCCACGAATGTTTAGAACGTTCGCTTTCTAACATTGAATCTCACCTCGGTTGATTTTGGTAAGTGCCTGAAAACTATACCACGGAGTGCATCTGAGTGAACGCGGGTTTGGGCGTGTTGGCTTTGTTCGGACTGTTGACCAGATAAGGAATATCTACATGGAAGAGAAATCAATTCTCACTTGAAGGTGACAGAACTGCAGCATTCGCTGCAAATGGAAGATCTTATCGTTGTAACTGAATGTTGCATCGCATTTGCAACCGGAAGTGTGGCATTGTCATGCAGCAAATCCCGAGCCGACATCTTTCAGCAGGAAAAGTTTCAAACGATCCAATTTCTCATTAGAAAGAATTTTATAATCCCAGTAAACACGGGGAGTTTTCCCACAGAAGATTCTGTTGAGACTGAGATATTCTGCACCTAATTTCAGTTTTCTTCACTTTTGATTTTCATCATAGATCCATTTCTATTTGCCAATATTCTCTAAAAAATACTTTTTAGAAAATATTTTAAAAAAAATACTTTTTTTTTTTTTCGGTCTCAAACAGTAATAGAAAGAAAGACAAGTGTTTAAACGCTTCCCAGTGTTAATTTTCCTAAGTTCATGTAGAATACATTTTTCAAAGTTTCTGAATATTGTTTAGTGATTAAAGATGCATCTGTTTATACCATATCACTTCAGGACGATTATGGCTCTTCACAGGTTCCTTTCCTTTATTGTCAGTGAATTGCCAGGACTTCTTGGGTAACTTAATGTAGTGATTTCCAGTCTCTTCTACTGTTTCTGAATCCGCAATATTCATTCTCTAGAATGTTTGTCACCGAAGACAAGAAAAACACAATTTACTCTGCTACTTAAGCCATAGCTGAGGAGGTGGAGAAAATACATTCACGACTTTCCCAATGGCATCTGTGGAAATGAAGCAATGTACTACAGATGACTAATTGTACAAATAAGAAAAATTTGAAAACTTTCAAAAGACACCTCTAGGATTTTTCTAATATTGTACATTTTAATCTAATATATATATATATATATATATATATATATATATATATATATGTGTGTGTGTGTGTGTGTGTGTGTGTGTGTGTGTGTGTGTGTGAATATTGTATATTTGGGCAACAACCTTTTTTTTTATACATGCTTCATTGAATGACAGACAAGGAAAAACTGATAAGTTTTTTTAAGTTTTCTAATATAATTTTTCCTTATTGCGGGGGGGCTAAAAGATTATAGGAACTGTTATTTTTTACGAATAATTTTTACATTCTCTTAATCCACAAAAAGGAAAACTGTGAGAAAATTAAAAAAACCTTTATGCGTCTTTTAAAATTTTCCTTATCTGTCGCAGTCAATGAAACACGCACATATAAGTAAGTGTGTGTGTGTGTGTGTGTGTGTGTGTGTGTGTGTGTGTGTGTGTGTGTGTGTGGTCCAATTCTTGGTAATTAGAAAACTTTAAATCAAAACGCGACTTACTTATATGAACTGAATACTATTTATTTTGGAAAACAAAATGAACCCAACCAATAAAAAAACATAAAACATTCTAACAATTCTTTCAGCGACTAAGTTGAATGGGGGAGCAGGTAAGCTGAGGTTGCATGGTAACACGTGTTTCCCAATTTGGGGGTTGAACCGTGGAACGCTTTGATTGAAACCCACAAACCCATCGGCCGGTGTTATGTGAACATGATCGCTCCTGACCACAATTGGGAAAATGGCCACCATGTTGATCTGATTGTTCAGCATCTGCAAAAGCATCGGAACTTCATTAAAACAAAAATACGTGAGATAAAATAAAAAAAGGGTGCGCGGAAGGAAATGTTCGTTTACGTGTCCGACTATAGAACTTCCGCGAAAACTATAGTCCCTTTTTTTTGATAGCGGCTTTGACAGCGGATGCACATGCATACACATATGTACACACACGCAAGCATATAGATTTAGGCTATATATGTGCGTACACGCGTACATACACTTACCTACAGATCTTGATAAAAATATCTCGTCACTGATATGTCATGATGATTAACGAAGAGAGTAGCCAAACCAGTCGTTCTCGCGTACATTCCCAAACAGAGGTTGCTACTTCCATTGTAAACCTTGACATGAACCAACCTGCTGAACCTGCTGTATATTTTAATGTAAATACTAGCAAATACAAATTCTTTAGGCGAGACCTGTTCCTAAGAAAATAAACATATAGATAATATTTATTTTAATTTTAAATTGAGGAATTATTATTATTATTATTATTATTGTGCTTTAGCAACCATCATTATAAATACCCTAATTACCAAGCCTCCTCGGGTTCTATGAGTAAACAGGACACTGAAAGAGCCCATTTGGGATGTTTCGTTTGGATGGAAAGGGTTTTGTGAATATGTGCAGTTCCCACAAAAGTAATCCTTTGTAGCTTTGAGATGCCGATGTGTCTAGAAATTGTTCTTTTCAGCAAGGACTAGGCACACTGATATTATGTGATTTTTCACGGCAACTAATCCGATGAGCTACTTTCGCTGGTTCCCATGTAACCGTCTCTTCTACTCAAACAGCTTCTCGTACTTTCCGTCTGTATAACTCTCTTCCTCTTACTTGCTTCCCTGATAACGATAATCTTCAACTATTCAAGTGTAATGTCAATTGACATCTTCTGATACCTTGATCTTGTTCCCCGTCCTTCTCTGTATCCTTTCCTCAAACACGCCTCTTTACTCTTGTTCTCAATCCCTCTGTAACCCCTTATGCGCCAGTGACACTCCTGCCTTACTTGGGGTGAATGTCTTAAAAAAAGTTTTATCAAAGTTATGGCATAAGCATGGATTTGAATTATTATTGTTGTTGGTGGTGGTGGTGGTGGTATTACTCTGGTGGTTTTTGTGTGAGCAACACGCCAACATAGTGACACTGGGGTAGAAAATACGAAACCCAATATATAACCATCAAGACATCCAGTCAGGGAATACAAGGCTCATGCCTCACTGACGAATATGCGTGATATGATGACAGGTCATAATAATAGCAGTGCATAACCTTGCCGATGAAACCCAGTTAGAAACGCCTTCAGCTCGAGTAACCTAGTCCGTGTAGATGGTCTCTGATTGAGGTTTTTCCAAGTATCTAATTGTGACTCCTAAGTCTGCTTCCGTAATTCATCCATCAAACTTTAAAAAACAACCTTCACGACAATCGGCTATGATTGTTTCCTAACAATCCCACTCATGACCAGAAATGTACAGTTTGTTATCCACTAGGAACATGCCCAACTGGTTAAGATCAGGCAACTGACAAGCAAATCTGTGGTACTGAACGGGATATATTTACTGTAGCCCAATCTAACACAATTGAGATCAAAAGACCTGAGAATCATGCCTGGTGTAATATTATACACTGATTTATTCGGACCGGACAAAGATACCTATTTGGCTTTTATTTATTTAGTGAAACAATGGATAGAACCATTGAGTACTCTGACACAGATCAGCGTTGACTGTGACTTAAGCTGATTTCTGAGTAATCGTCCCTAGTAACAGAAAGGCTGCGCGCGATGGTCAGTGGCTGCGGTTAGGTGCTTGTTGCCGTAGTTTTTTGCATTACTGTCCTGCCAGTCAGATTTGCTTCTATACATTGATGGTGTCGATTTCTAAACGGAGCTTAGATGGGCACAAGGCTCAAAGTATAGGGGCACCCAGAAAAGAATAGAACTCACAATTCACTCGTAATATATCTAGCGAGACAAGACTAACCTTTATATCACGTTTGAGTACCCTCCTCTACAGTGATGATACTTACACATAAAAACTGTCGCTCGCGATTCATAGCTGTCTCCACCCTTCTGTCCACTTCGATAACAGCGAAATTCATTTTACAGACGACCCAGTATCGTAGCAACAGACACCCCCATAGGCCGAGACCACGAGGCAAAATCTCTATAAGATGACTTTGATTGATGGGTTGTTTTTGTTTAGCGGTATATCAACATCTCCACTTAATGTCGAAATCTAAATATTTTGTGTGCAATTTGTATTATTTTGGAAATATTAATGGTTTCGTGAAACAAGTTTTACTAATTAACCCATAGCTGGTGGAGTCATATCTTTCCCAAGAGTATTTGCGCGTGAGTGAATATAACAACCCAATTGGAATTGGAACTAAGCTCTCAGATTAACGATGACGGTCTATAGACATTACACCACCCACACACCCAAACTTACAGCACCTGGTATTTTTCAGGCGATCACCCATCTAGGTACTGACCAGGTTCGACGTTGCTTAACTTCGGTGATCGTATGGTAACCGGTGTTTCAACGTGATGTGACCGAAAGCCGATGTATTTTGAGATGAGGTCACTAGTCTGAGTAGATCACTGAGTAAAATGCCTATTGTAAAACATTTTCTCAGTTCGTATCTGTAGAGAAGAAAGACGAGAAGAGCAAGATGAAAGTACTATTAATTGTAAGAACCCTGAAGAGATGATGGTGAGCAAATATTGATCTTCGTATATTTGTAGCCCAACCTCTTTTTGTTGGTCTGTGCTCTCCCCACCGAATAATAATAATTTTAAGGCGTATCTCTCCGACTGAAAGATACAGGATTTCAAATGTTTAAGGTTAACCGGATTTCCCAGTCAGCTTTGAAAATGAGCGTTTATAAACCTGCTGTGAGCTATGGTGGCATGTCAGTGACGAGATATTTAATCATAAAAATATTTATCCATGTTTAAAGAAGCAAATACTCTAACAATTTTGTACAAATGAATGGAGAAACAAATACCATAAAAACAAAGAATGGTCGTAAAAGGGAAAATATTACGGAGTAGGGTAACAAAAAGATAGAAAGGTGTGGAGAGCTAAGATCGCCCACGTTTTGAAAGGACACAGAGAAAGAAAAAATTTATGACTTATCTCCTATTCTGAATAAAAATCAACTCTTTTGATTCAGAGTTTTGTTTTTAAACCCATCATAGTAGGGACCCTATTTTTATCTTGATATTTACTCAGCTTCATTTACTGTAACTGTTCGGTTCACACACCTTCCTAAATTTTTGAACAGTAGTAGAGGTTTATCCCTTGTTTCTTGTTTAGATTTGAGTTTGCGGTTTCTTCTCCTAAATTTTTTTCATTTTCTTTCACTACAACAACTCTTGCGTCTTAGTGGCATTATTTCCTCACTTGGGGTGAAATGATTAAAAAGAACATCTTAATTTACCAAGACAAAAGACGTCCATGTTAACACCTTCAATTAATTGATATCAAAGACTTATGAGCCAAGCCTGGTGTCGCATCAGGAGTCGATTATTATTATTATTATTATTATTATTTATTGGAACAACTGTTACTTTGATCATCCCATTTGTCAAATAATTTTATGAGTTAAACACGCCTGTTCATCAAATACAATTTTAGTTGACCGGCCAACATCCACCCAGTAGTCACCTATTTGCAAACTGACGAGTCTTATTTTAAAAACAATGGGTGGGATATTAAAATACTGAAACAACAACAATCAAAATGTCACTTTAGAAAAAAAATGTTCGTAAAAATTGCTTTTTAAACAAAAATAAAAGCATATTTGGAGAAAAGATTGCTGAATGTTTTTCCCACGACCGTTTTAGTTGTATTAATGGTTCCTGCTTCTTCAGCAACAATGATCAGGATATGAGTCTACTTGCCATAAGACTTCCACATTTAGCAAATAAAGCTTACGGCCGTATCACGTTCTTGTCCGACCACCGAAATTGATGAGAAAAGAGGGCCTGGAGAATATGATACTCACAAGTCGAATAGAGGGAAAGAGAGACAAGGAAAACAACGCGTGACATAATAGCGGGCTTAAGCAAGTGGATAACAGAACGTGGTCTGGGGGAGGTGGCAGAGGGAAGGTACGGTTGGAGAGCTGCAAGGATAGAGGGAGGTGGAGATCCATTATCGCCCACGTACTGAAAAAAGGACATGTCACAAAAAAAGAAAGAATTCACTAGGGAACATCATCAAGTGCTGTGTTACGTGACAGGCTTAATAAGCCGGCAATGGATACATCTCGTTACTTATAATGATGCGAATGCTGATGGATTGAGTGCGAAGCAATATTAGACCGGAAAGAGGATAAGAATAGTGCGTCTTTGTTAAAGACACGGAACAAGAAATGCGAAATTCAAGATTAGAATGATATCAGAAGGAGCAATACAAATGCAGAAAGATGTGCACTTGTTTTTTATAGATTATTACGCAAAAAGTATTCGACAAGGTACAGCATAAAGATCTATTTGAACCACTAGGAAAAACTTGATCTATTTAGAAAGGATTTTAGAATAATCTAGAACTTATACTAGAAACAAACGTTCTATGGTCGTTGGCGGAAACGTTGGCGAAATCGTTGGGGAGGGGGCTCATCGACATTTCCTTCTGTGTGAAATGAGTCCTATAAAACGGATAGAAAATGAAGTGAAGTAGCTACACAAAAATAGAAAAGGATACAGCTTCTTAGAAATATAAGACAAGGAGACATCTTCTCCCCAGATTTATCCAGCGAGGCTCGTCTAACGGAGCTGGAGACCCAATTAGAATTTATTATCGGCGGACGTAATCTTAACAATAAAAGATACGCAGATGACACTGTGTTGATAGCTGACACGGAAAGAAAACTGCAGGATCCCTTAGACAGGGTAGTAAAAGAAAGCGAGAAAAAAGGACTAAATATCAATTGCAAGAATACAGAAAATATAGTCATCTGCAAGAGAAGAAGCTCAAGATGCGATTTATAAATTGAAAATGTCAACACCAAGTGCAGAAAAATATCTAGGAAGTGTTTTTTGTTATGTTTTACTAATCTCTCCGCGTAGTAGTAGAGTTCTCCGTGTCCTGAATAGCAACTGGGTTTCTAGGCATAGCCACCATGTGTTCGACAGTTGTTCCTATTTATACTTGTCTATCTAATTTGCATATGATAATACAGTTTTAACAGAGAATGTAAATGCGACATTGAAATGCGAACACACATGGATGAGCGAAATAGACATTCCAAAAGCTAAATAAAAAAGCTAAGAAACAAACATTTCTGTTAGAAACAAAGAAAATAATACTGATTGCTAAGTGATACCCGTCTTTTATATGGCAGTGAATGGTGTACAATCTCCCATAGATGAAAAGAAAATTGAGGCAATAAAAAATATGGTTCTACCGAAGGATACTGAGAATTCCATGAATGGAATAAGGAATTCTTAACGAAAAAATGGTAACTAAATCAAGAAAAAACAATTGAAATTACTTGACACATAATAAGGAAAGGGTCTTGGAAAAATTAATTCTCACAGGCATATTGAGGTTAAGAAAGATGGGGAAAGGCAGTGAACCTGAGGAGGTTGTATGAATGGATGGTGGAACGACGTGCGGGGGAAAAATAGAGAAAATCTGCTCAAGGATAGGCTGGATAAGCACTCGTTATTCAAGTACTGATAACAACGCACAACTTTGTATATATATATTTATACTAATGAACAACATATAGTTTTGTACTACTTGCACCCTGAAGATGATCTTGGAAGAAGATCGAAAGTACTTGGGAAATGAAAATAAAAGAAATTTAAACAGCTATAACACATTTCTCTCATCCTCTAACATCAATATACGGAAGGTTATCCGTGAGTATGAACGGATTTTGTTAAAAATTAGCAGACATAATGTCTGTAATTTATTCTATCATACATATATATATATATATATATATATATATATATATATATATATAAATTTCCCATTTACGGTAGAGCACTTTCTACATTCATTTTTTACATTAACATGGAAAAACATCTATCTAAAGAATATGTATGCCCTACACAAACAAACGGGATTTTTTTGTAGAAAACTATTTAAGAAAACTGAGGATTTAAAAAAACGGATAAGATGGAAGGCTTATTTCTTCATTCACGATAACAATTTTTCGAAAGAACCAGATGTTTATGTTTCAAAAACTTAAAAACTGCACCATTCATCGAATGGTTTATATGGTTTTTAAAATGATTCATTAAAATCATTAAATCTCTTTTCATAAATATAAAAATCATTTCAGAGACATCTGGACTTAGTTGTAAAGGACTTTTCATCTGTCTGACAAGGTTTTTATAAACCGATATAAACAGCTAACTTATACAAAATTACCTAAAGATTATAATATTTTAATTAGAAGAAAAACTTAACTAAAAAACTATAGAAAAGTAGATAATTTTATTGTTATTTTATTTGATTCATTAATGCATGGCTTATCAAATATCTGCAGACAATTTAAAATCAGCAACAGAATGTAAGAATTGTACTAAAGAAACCTATGTCATGATCAAGGCTTATGGTCCTTATTTTGAGGTTAATTCAATTAGAAAATCAACCCTACCAGGCCAGAAATTGGTAGAATTAGCAAGATCATCCTCGATAGTCAAGTAGCTGATTAGAAGGAGTTTGAACTTTTACCAAAAATACCACAAGAATGTCATAGTGGTTTAATGGTATAAAATGATAAAAAGAATTGAATTGTTTATTTATCCAGTTTGATATTACTTATAAATTTAAGGAATTATTACCCATCTATTTCCAGAGATCTTTGTACTTTGATTTTGGAATTTTGTTTAAAGTTGTCTGTTCTTTCTAACGAGGGAGTTTGACATTATTATGAATTGTAGAAGATCCTTCTTATCCATAAAATGAAGAGTGTAAAAAGGAACAACTCTATTGACTAATTCGATATTTTTGTGATCGTTAGACTCTGCTGAGTCTTCCGACCTGTTGGTTTATTTATCTTATATAATCTAGTGCCCACCAAGATATCAACATTGATAATATAGGGGTTATATAGAGATGATGATGTCTATGATGGTGAAAAAATTCCACAAAAATTAAAGCTGACAAAAACCAGGAGTTAATACATAGAGAATTTAAAAGTTAAGATCAACACTAATTTAAAAAAGTAGATTTTCTTGATGTTACATTAGACCTAGTTAATACCAAATTCCAACCCTCATGTACAAATAAAAACAAACGCCAATGGAATATATATCCATAAAATTCTAACCACCTCCGTCGATAATGAAAAACACATACCTCCTCATAAAATAGAGGATTAACATAAATTCTTCCAGTAAATTGTCTTTTACAAGCATAGCAAAAGTTTATAACACTGCCTTTAAAAACAAACTAAAAGTGCCCTGATATCAAATAAATAAAACATAACAGTAGCGATCGTAGGAATAAAAATTCTATAATTATGTTTTTATAAAACTTTTTTCAAGATTATCGATACACTATAGTTTAGTTTTAGTGTATTTCATTATTTCT